AACAGGTTAGTGAACAAGAGAGATTTTAATTGGTTAGCTGCTATTTTCATGATTATTAAATTTAAATTCCAAATTTATTAACTCATTGACTTGAAATTCTCCAGCTGTCATGCAGATCTCTGACCTCCTGTCTCTGAGCAGGAGTCCAGGCTTCTGCATTACTTGCACAGTGACAAGCACGGTTGTCTGACAGTGCCAGGGACCCAGGTTTGATTCCATCCTCTGGCATCTGTGTGGATTTGCACATTCTCCCCTTGTCTGCATGGGTTTCTGACAGATGCTGTGGTTTTCTTCCCCCCACACAGTCCAAAGATGTGCAGGCTAGGTGGATTAGCTATAGGAAATGCAGGGTTACAGGGTTAAGGTAGGGGGGGTGGGAGGGTCCTCGGAGGGTCAGCGTGGACTCGAAGGGCCAAATGGCCTGCTTCCGCACTGTAGGGATTCTATGATTCTATGATTCTAGGACTACCCAATGAGCTACTAACTCCCGTCTGCTCCACCTAATAGTTTTCCATGTTATTGCTGAGGTTTCAATCGAGTTTAAACACAGCAAGGTCAAATGGTGTTGTGGGACCTCGACACTGAGAATCCTGTTCAGACTAGGTCCTGGGTGCCTGTTTAGTTGGGTCTGAGAGACTCCATTACACTACTGGACCGTGTGCTTTTGGTACCTTGGCTAACATGCAGTTTTTCACACCATCCAATTTTATCACATTGATATTTGCTGATTTACACTAGTTGTCACTTTTATCAAGACTATAGTCACTACACAAAATAAACTACATTCTGAGAAGAGCTCCAGAGTATTCCAAAGTAAAAAATATGACATATTTACAAAATCACTCAACCAAATCCTTCAGCAGAATCACTGATGGAATTGAACTGTAAAAACAAGTCACTCATAAATTCCATACTTGAAACCTTAGGATGTTGTCAAAAACATACCTCTTTATTTCTTGATATTTCAGATTGCAGACTAAATTGGGAAAAGATAGTTTTAAAAACTAAGGATTGTGCAAACGATTGCTGTACTTTTTCCAAAGCAAGTTGCTAAAACTCATTTTACATTGTGTTTAGCCTGCTGCTTTGTTCAAGCAATGGGGGAGGCAGGTTGCCATTGAGGGGATGGACAAAGTGAGATTCAGCTGGTAACAAGTAGTTGATTGGCTGGTGGAGTTATAAGCAGCTATGGCCTCTGCTGGAACAAACGTGGTTGGCTTCTGGGTAGCTGAACAGCTTGTGGGTGCAAACAATATTGTCGGAAGCCTTTGGACCTCAGGAAGGGGAGGTGGTGTGTTTCACTGCAGTGGTAAGTACCCAAAACAAGCCAGTTATCTTCTCCCACAGGTTGCTATAACCAAGAAGTCAGAGACTATGATCTGTAACCCAGTTTCTGTGTGTCCCCTAAAAGCAAGTTTGATTAAAAAAAACCTGGAGGAGAAAGGCTAAAGATCAGCAAGACCTGGCCAACCAAAAAAAGGACCATCTGAGTGAACCCAGTGGACACGGGCCATCAAACTGTCTTGCTAGTTTTTCTTTTACCTTCAGACATTTATTCATGTCTGTGCACATATTTTTAGGGGACGTTTTCTAAAGGGGCTGGAGTTTTTAAACTAGTTGAGTCACATGGCAACAGGCTGTAATTCTTAACTTGTAGGTAGAATATATTTATTTCTAAGATATAGCAATTCTTGTCAAATAAAGAAAACTGGTCCAGGTTTTCTGCTCACCTGGGTCTAAACAGCCAGGTAAATTGGGAACTTGGGCATACTTTTACACAATCTTTCATTTTTAGCCAATTTATTGTTACATATATTTATGAAAATACAGTAAAATGTATACAAGTCGCCATAAGCTGGTGGCTTTTTATGATGGCTCCAGGAAGGAAAAATAGGGCTCGCTTTCCAGCCCTCTCCCCCAGTGAGGTGTGACAATATCACTATCATAGGAATCCACTCAGAATTTATAACTGGGAAAGTATCAAGTCCTTGTACTGAATCTACAGGCAGATCTGCTCAGTCAAAGGAAGCACATCAAGCTCAGGCCTGTCAGATCTTATACTTTTCCCCGGATATCTAGCAGAATCAGTCCTTAGAAACAACTTAGACAACATTTGTCTTCAGTAGGCAGCAACTGTGTTCTGAAAGGGCTATACTTCATACAGATCTTAAACAATTTAGTCAGAGTGATGCACGTCAGCTCAAGCACTTCAAAGCTTCACCAGCTGCTGTATGTCTGTCAAATAATTTCAAGATACTGTAGCTCAGAACATTAACAAAAGAAATATGAGATTCTTCTCTGGCTCACCAGGAATGAAACGTAGGCAGACATCCTTAAGATTCTGCTCCAGTGGAATGTCAGCACCACCGAATTCAAGTTAGTAAACCCAGCCATGATTACTCCCCTTTCACGCATAACCAAAAATATCCTCAACTTTAAAAAAATGTAAGACCCACATTGAACACTGATCAATCAGTCCAGCAGTAACACCTTCAGTTGAAATTCTTGTGCTTTATAAATGGTTCAGAATGGAATCCCAACTTACACAATGTTGAGCTTAACATCAGGACCAATTCTTGCAAATCCACGACAGCTTTTCTTTAAGCTACCACCATTCATTTCACTGAAATGCCTGCATAACAGTTAGCACAGCCTTCAAGATTTTATTACACAAGCACTTAGTTCTTTTCTCCCCCAAAAAACCTCGCACATAGTCCTGTTCATCCATCGCTCCCGGACAACAATGTTTCAAATTTTAAAATCACCACCCTTCATTTCAAATCCCTCTATATTGTACCCGTCTCAGAACTAGAAACCTTTGAGATGTCTGCACACCTTCGATTCTGCTCTTTTGCACATCCATAAGGTTTATGAGGCAGCCACAAGCAGTTATACTGGGCCCTTAAGCTCAGCAATTTCCTTGCTAAACCTCTCTGCCTCTGTCAGAGAGACAGAGTCATTCTTCAAGGCACTTGTTAAAACCCACCACTTTGAGCAAATTTTCAGGCATCAATCTTAATACCCTGTGGGACTTGCAACAAAATTTGGTGAAGCGCCTGGAGACTATTTGTTACAATTATATAGTGCATTCAACATTTAACTGTTGTTGATCTGTTGTTGTGTGGACCTCTCAATGAAGCAAAGGTGTGCACTTTTGCCCGATTCACAAATTTTGGTTTCAAAAACGCTCAGATCATATCTTGGAGTAACTTACTTTTAAGAAGTGCACTTAAATTTGAAATTATATGCTTGGAGAAAGAAATAACCTTAACACATTACTAACCACTGTCATCAAAAAACTATCCAACGTAAAGCCGCAATGCTGTACCTTTCAACGATGTGGACAAACATGTCTTTGATAAACTGCTCTGACCCCCACTGACATTATCAAACAAATCTGATCCCGGAATCAAATCTGACTTGATAAATTATATTTTGTACCTTTGAAATTTTTTTACTGTAAGTTAGCATACAAGTCTGCAAATTTGGTTTTAACAATAAGAAAGAAGTCTATTACACAACATAAATAAAATTAATTAACATATTTAAAGAGCTTGAAAGATTAAAAAAGCACTTGGCTGAACAAAATCCCATTAACTCCTCATATCCAACATCGTATTTGCGTTACTCAAAAATCCAGAGAAATTCCTTCCCTATCAAATCTATAGGTTTGGCTTAACTGCTACTCTTAATTCTGATCCTTTGAGCGGTGAGGCCTTTTCCACAATCAAAATTGAGAGCTTAGACTTTGAGGAGTCTTTTAATAATCTTCAGAGTTGTAACCAAATACTCTTCATTTAGAAGTTTCCCAAACTACACTTACACTAGGGAACTTATTTCCTTAACGGCATTGAAAAAGCTCCAATTTCTAAGAGAGACTACACTTGATCTGGCTTGATAGATCAAATTTTGTTTGTTCTTAACATCAGTCTTTTACTAAAACAGACTCACAAGGCTTCAAATTTGGTTTTAAAAACGAGTAGCTTTTAAAAACAATAACAAAAACAAATTATCCCAGTTGGGTTTCCTTCAAAAAAAAACTTTCCCAAAGCTTTTGAAATAAATTTTAAAAAGATCCTGAAGCTGAAGCTAAAACAAACTTCCATGAACACTCCAGGAGGCATGTAGTTGCTGGTAATGAGTCTGGGGGGAAAAAAAAAAATCAACTGAATTGATTTTTAAACCTCTTTACAAAAATAGACCAACATCCATATGCCATTAGTTTAAAATCAAAATTCCCAAAGTTTTTTTATATCTTTCATTACAAAACATCTAACACACTTGATCATTTGTATCTATTTCACTCGCCAATTTCGACAATCTGTTAATAAGGATTTTGTGATGAATGCTTTAAAATACAAAACAGACTGGTTTATGACCTGTGTTAATCCCAGTTGATGTTTCATTCTCCAACTCTTAAGAAATTTACATTTTTTCAGAGATAAAACAGTGGACGTTAGTACGATAATGCAACATTGTTTTCCCCCCTGCAATCATCACAGTCTATTTGAGAGACTCTTGGAAAGAAGGATTCAATAATTAGAGAAATAGATCAGCAGTACATGTGTAACAGATTGCTTACTTCAAAACCATCTGTTGTGCAATGTTGTAAGCCATTTCACAAGGAAGGTTACAGCCTAGGGCTTGAAATGATCACTTATGCTCAGTAGCATTTCTATTAAGAGTAATTAATTACAATTAGACGTGCCAAGATTTCAAAACTAATGATGTAATTTTGAAGGATAATATTTTGGGATTGATCAATGTGCCTAATTGGGTACTGCGACAAATTGTTTTGAGTGACATTTTTAACAGGTTATTTTTGATGTAGGTTTAACACACATTTAGAGTGAGTTTACTCCATAGTTTCTGATCTATTGTTGGGATGCTGATCAGGTTGAAGCTCTACCACAGCAAACGTGGTATTATACACAGGAAGTAAATACAGAGAGTGATCAGTTTGTTAGCTAGATGACGGTCACTGTCATCCACTCACTCACCAAATCGACTTCCTGGCTCCTTCAAATATTGTTCACTCTGGCTTTTCTTTGCTTCTTTTCTCTTCTGCACACTTGCCCACCAAGGTTTATACTTCAGCAAGTCCTGAATGGCATCATCCTCGAACAAGTCAGCACTGATGGTCAAATACAGTATATTTCTTTACCAGCAAACCCAACCTGACTGAAGATTTAAAACATTAGGTGCACTTTTCTCCCCAGCCCCCCACTCCGACACAAGATTCTGTTATTTATTTGTCACAAGATCATTTTGGTACACTTAACTTCCTAAATCCATTAGGAAAATATATATTTTTTAATGCCCACATTCTCCACTCCCTTAGGGTAGCACGGTGGCTCAGTGCCAGGGACCCAGGTTCAATTCCCCCCTCGGGTGACTGTCTGTGTGGAGTTTGTACATTTTCTTCCTGCGTCTGCAGGTTTCCTCCCAGTGCTCTGGTTTCCTCCAACAGTCTAAAGATGTGCAAGTTAGATGGATTGGCCATGCCAAAGTTGTCCATAGTGGCCAGGGATAAGACGGCTAATTGGATTAGCCATGGGAAACACAGGTTTATGGAGATAGGGTGGGATGCTCTTCAGAGGGTCAGTGTGGACTTGATGGGCCAAATGGCCTGCTTCCACATTGTGTGGAAGCATTCTATGGTATGATAATTTAATGAACAAAGCACAGATATATATTTAGTTAGAGTCAAAAGTTTTTTTGCAAATGGGTTTCAAGTTACACAATCTCAATTAATGAACATTGATAATTAAGACTAAATTACGAATAACAGTACATAGAAAGAGGGGAATTTTCAGAGCACAGTGTAACAGTCCTTTAACAGTGGTCAACAAGCAAAAACAGTTCCTCAAATCACAAGAAAAACACGCAAATTTTCCAATTACACAAACTATGGGCAAATTCCAGCATTGGAGCTGCGCTGATTTATTAGTATTAAGCAGATGAAAAACATAGTAATGCGACTAGGACATTAAAATAGGGAACTGACAAAAGCCAAAAATCCAGTCACTCCATCTCGACATATCATTGGAGGAGGCTGGTACAATTACAACATTTGAACAGCATCTGGATGAGTATATGAATAGCAAGGGTTGAGAGAAATATGGGCCAAATGCTGGCAAATAGGACTGGATTAAACTTAGGCTATCTGACCAGCATGAATAAGTTGGACCAAAGGATCTGTTTCCATACCGTACATCTCTATGAATCTACGATACGGCCACAGTGAACTAACATGATCGTAACTAGTCACAGGCAAAAGAATCACAGAGCTAATGAACATTACACTTTTAAAAATCAGTTTTGTGGAACTTCAATACTCCGTCAACACGTGACGGAGCTTGCCAGACTTGAGAATAAGACAATCTGCACTGCTTTCTCAACACTCTGGTTGTGATTTAAACAGTGTTGGATTGCTGCGCATTCCATTACCTGAGTGACTACTAATGCAAACTCTACAGAATTTCTTAATCAAAGACTTTATACAGCCATTCTCAATAAGCTAGTATGAGTGGTTAAAACCTAACCCTCAACAACTCCGCATTATTCATTCCTATAGGAAAAGCAGGTATGTGCTTTAGAAGAAATTTAGAGTGCAGAATTGTGCCATAATTAGTTTTACATTTTTTTAAACAAACCAATTATAGCTCACTTATGCAGGGTAGATCCAGGCTAACGCTCTTGGATAGTCAGAAGTCCTGCAGACACAAGGAAAAAGTGTGATTTGCTCATGTCAGCTGACTTGGATCAGTATTCATGATTTCTCATGGTCGTAGGATTCGTTGCATTATTACGGTATTTTATCCTGTCTTTAAACTCTGATTGAACCCAACATATACACCATAATGTTTGCAGTTGATCCTGATTAAAAAAAGGTGAAAATCACAACACATCTCTAGAGAGAACACAAAATCTTTGGATTTTTTTTAAACAATTTTGGACAACTAAACTGCTGTAGTTGTATCCAAGTATTTTAGAGCTGCTTGGCATATTAAAGAGAGTCCAGAGATCACCGGGAGAACTACTGTAAAGGAATATTTACTAATCGAGATTGTAAATTCTGATAACCCTCAGTGCTGCCTGAATGCAGACATGTTTTAACACAAATTTACAAAAGGGCTGTTATATTAAATTAAGGATAAAATAATGATGGGGAGAGAACGGGGGTGGGGGGGTGGAAGGAAAGATACTCGAGAAAGTGAGCGAGATATGAAGTACACGAGGGCAGAGACAACATATAATAGCACAATTTTAAAATTGTAGAAAAAAAAAGTACAAGTAAATTAAAAAGAGACAGAAAGCATGCAAAAAGAGAGTTCATGCGAAGAGAGAGAGCAGAAAAATCATGTTGATTCTATTTGACAACATTAAATCAGCCATGATACAAATGCCCTAACAATAAAACAGCAGTTCTCAGTTTATTAAGTTCACAATTTTCACTTACAGATAATGGTCAGAATCAAACTTGGCATCTTCAGCAGCTAAGCGCTTCTGCCGACGTTCAACAATTGTGGCACTGTCTGGTTCCTTCAGGTCAATCACATCACTGAGTTCATGCTGGTGATGATGAACACAAATTAAGCTGGACAATAAGGTAATCAAACAACATGTTGCCCATTTGTTTATCATTCTACAATGGAGCACCACTAAAGTAAACCTTTACATTATCAATGGCTCCAAACATATTGGGAACATTACTAGCACCACATGAAGCCTGGGTCATACAGCAAAACATTGGAGGTAAAAGCAAACTTAGCAGATTAATTGCACTACACTGCAGCTTTTTGTATCAAGTTGACCAATTATAAACAAGCACCTCTTCAAAAGCAAAGGAGATCATTTCTAAGCAACACATAGCAAGCATTAGCTGAACTGACTGCACTTGAACACTACTGAAAGCAGATGACCTCCAGAAGATCTCTCAGTTCTGTGACAAGAACATTATTTCGCCCTGGTAGATTCCAGTCAACTCTGAAGTAACCGGGGCAATACTAAGAGAATGCACAAGAATGCTGCAGCAGAATTCATTTTATTATAGCAGCTAACAGTACAAGAAAAATGTTTCTATGTCAATTATGGCAGCATGCAATCCACATCAGTTTTTCTGATGTCAGCCAGCAATCTATTGCAATAACAGTACTTTTGTAATTTGGGTGGATACTTTATTTTTGCACAATACGATGTACACAACGAGATGAATAATCATTTGCATTAGTTCAGTATGATTGACTACAGGAGATCAGTGCTTCCAGTGCTAGACTTCAGCAGCAAATTATTTTAATTCTATTTTAGCTTGAACCCATTGTACAATCACAGGAAGCAGTACCCACTGCAGGTTAAAGGCAGACCTGGGCAAACATTGTGATGCTAAAATAGACTGTAACAAGTGGGTGCAGGGAATCGACACTTCCTATTTCTTCTCCTTATCAGAACATAGAACAGTGCAGCACAGTACAGGCCCTTCAGCCCACGATGTTGTGCCGCCCTATTATCCTACTAAGATCAATGTTTGACTGTAACAGGTTACTATTGTTTGAAAAGGTTATAAATACTTAATTGTTTACACATTGTGATTGTAAAAGAACCACCAAACAGGCATTCTTCCTTTTGGCCAAGCAAGAGACTAGTCATATTTAGACTTAAACTGTTTCAAGCAATAGAATACACTCCAACTTCTGCAATACACACAAACACAGGTTACAAAGGGGAGGATGAAACAAAATCGGCGTCCCTAGAACAGAAACAAAGTCACAGTTCATAGTTTGGAGCCTGTATCAGCTGCAGCCAGAAGCCATTGGTCTTGTTTTCAGTGCCAAGGTGCTCTTTCACCGGAGCTGGGTTTTCTGTCTGTGTGGGGTTGCTGCTGTGGAATTGAATTCTCTCTTTCTGTTGACTGCAGAAATGGAGACAAATGAACAGACAGGATCCAAGCTTGCTCATAACAGGATAGAGTGAGACAGATAGCAAGAACAAGAACTTCTCAGAAGCGCATGTGCTCAAATCACATTAGAGATTTGAACTGGTTATGTGATCTCTACCCACCAGCTAGTAATTAAACACCAATTATATCTCAATTAGTTTGTTTGGAGCAGTAGCTTAAAAATCAAGGACTTCTTGCTCGGGCAATTAACCCTTGGATGGTTCGCCTTCAGCTGCTGAGCACTGTAAGCAGGTTCCTATCTTGCTTATAGGACACAGGAAGGAAGATTGCTCACAAATCCTTCGGGCATGCCATTGCCTGCAATGGATCGCGCAGACATGCTGTTTGCTCTCGACAGGGCTGGAATATGCAGTATAGGAGGAAAATAACTAATTTGTTTTGACCATCTTGATGTAATTTGAAGTCATTTTAGCCCGTTTCAAAGATTGTGCCATTTTTCAAAAACATCCAATTCCTGCTGTCAGCAATTAATCTAAAATTAATTTTCAACATACTGGTAAGCATATCTTCATGACATTACCAACAACAAACAGGTGAATGTTGCACTGCATTAAAAAGTCTGGAATGATAAATTTTGTTCATGCATCTGCAAGTCAGTAACTTCAGTCACACTGTACCGTGTGCAAAAGTACTACATATTCAGATACATCAACAATCAGTCAGCTTCAACGCATTTTGCAGTCACCCAAGGTTTTAAAAGGCACTTTAGAAAGGTAGGCTTTTCTTTTCACTTTTTAATAGCTATGTTGTCCTGCAAATATAACTGGGCCTGGAATAAAACATTTCATTCAAAGATTTACAGTTCTGAAACAGTCACTGATAATATTTCACACAAATGTCTTCCACTTGCTCTTCAATTAATCCCCCGATATTATTCACTTTAATCTACAGCCCAAAGCAATTAATTAACTGGAACTTTAATATATATTAAAAAAAAGTATATTGAGCTTAAGGCTATAAATAATTAAGCAGGCCTTCTTGAAACAAATCACCAATTAGTAGACACCCTGTATTAGCATTTTCATCCACATAACACTTTGTATTGCTCAAGTGAAAATGAAGATCTGAAGGTTAAAGCCTGATCTTAAACAGTGTTCTGTAAAGAAAATCACAAACTTCACAAATGAAACTATGTATTTCACATCAATTTTTTAAATTTCAGCTCAGCCCTGCCTTTATTCAAAATGTTCAGCACTGTTTCCCCATCTTCTTGCCTCAAATGTGACAGGAAACGCACCAGTGTGCACACACCTTAGACCGCATGAACCAAACTGCCAGCTCCGAGTGACTGCGTTATGGATATATGTCAGGAGAATGACAACAAAGGGAGTAAACCCTGTCTTATTTGTGCAGAGGAGGCCAAACTGGTTTGAGATGACGGTGCGGAAGAATGTGTTATGGTAAAAGGAGAAACATCATCTGCAAAAGTGGGTTTTGGATTGGGGCAGGGGGTGGTGAGAAAAAGGGGTGCTGTGGGGAGATAGATTTTATTAAAATAAGGCAGCATCTGGCCAAATAAGACTGGGACCAGGTAAATTTATAGCAGAAAAGTGGGAGGCATTCGAAAGGGAACAGAGGAAAATACAGGCTCAACGTGCCATCTTCAGGGTGAAATGTAAGAGCAATAAACCCAGAGAATACTGGGTGTCCAGGAATATTCACAGCTGGATAATCAAGTAAATAACAAAAAAAAGAGAGGAGTGCAAATAAGTGCAAAAGGGAGCAAATCAACAGAGGTCCTTGTAAAGTACAGAAAGTTTTGGGGGGGAAGCTTAAGAAAGCAATTAAGAGAGCAAAGAGGGGGCATGAGAAAACACTGGCAGTCAAGACTGGGGGAAATCCCAGGATATTCTACAAGTATAATAGGGGGAAAGAGGATAACCAGGGAGAAAGAGGATAACCAGGGAGAAAGAGGATAACCAGGGAGAAAGAGGATAACCAGGGA